AAATCAAACAAAACGACGGGTAAAACACGTGCAGCTGAAGGACACCAAAATTAAAACAGCTGGCTAACCCACATAACAAGATGCAATCCGAGGCAACTACATAAGAAAAACAAAACAGCATTACAGTGAGCAGCAAACTCCATAATCACAACCCGCACATCTGAGGATGGCCGGTTAGGCAGAAACCTGCAGTGACAATAAAGAAAGGGGACGAGTGAACAGTAACAGACGTTGCACACGGACGGCACAGAAGCTCCCCTTTATGTAACTTCCTACTGTATTCCACTTTTTTTTTTNGACAAAGGCAGTTGCGATTTATGAAAAAGGAACTACTTGAAACCACGTTCAGAGCCTGGTTAGCTCAGTCGGCATTGTGGCTACTGTATGGGTTGGACCGGGAATTCAGCGTTCGATTCCATGCACACTGCCTAGGCCGACATTGGGGCCCACGACGCTGTCTACGTGGTATACACCGGAGACAGAGGGGAGATTCTGCCCCCGGGGATAAAGCGATAGGAGCATGAAGCTGAACATTCACCTCCACGTATTGCCCAGATTAAGAACGCGTGAAGCTACATCTCCACTTCCCCGTACGTCTTCTTGCCGCGGTGTTACGCACTGGGAAGCAACCGTTACGTTACAACACAGGTTATATTTCAGCACTCCTTCCCTGAGAAACACCATGAAGTTGGATGATACAAACTTACCCCTCTGTCGACGGTATTCTTAAGCACGGCCGATGTCAGTTCGGGCACTTAGCAAACACAGATTAAGATCTTAATGCTGCAAACGGAAAGAGAGTGCGGCTTCTTTCCATATATGCGACTGTGAGGTTGCCATGATCTTCTTTTTTTCATTTTACATAAATATTAACATTACTAAAATTCGCGCAGTGATTAAAAATACCGACACTACATTATGTTGTAACAATGTACTACCGATGTCTGAAGGGCGAACTAAATAATTATTAACCATTATCTCATATCACAACTTATTACATTCAACAGTCACCATTTTAGTGAGAATACAACACCTTTAGTACTTTCACAATTGAACGTCACGCTTCGCCTTAAACTACAATAACTCATTTTCGTAAAGAGCTTCACTTAACACATTTTACATGATGGGCTTCCACATTTTATTACATTCATAAACTACCGTACTAATACAGCGCAGGGGAATTCGTACTGTTACGGTTTGAAAACCCGCTTACTGTGAACTAAACTTTCCAAAGGTAGTCAGCAAACAGCAGAAAGTTGAAACTGTGGTTATGTTATGTGTACCGGACCGCAACGTGCGACCCAAAAACAGCTGATTCGTAACGACAATGTGACTGCGTATAATGCGCACATTGTACATTTCACACTGAGGTTATGACAAATGGATAAATGACCAATTTCTGCGTTACGCTTGAAACTCATACGGAAACAGGTTCTATAGTACACGCCAAAGGACGCCGACATCGTGGAAGATATTAGTGAAGCTCGAACCGGTATGTGAATTCGGAACACGCTTGATTTTCTGTACAGTCGTACCTCGGCCTACAACTTCCCGATTTCCGCATTTACCATCCTTTATGTTACAGTCGTACCTCGGCTTAGGGCTTTCCAGCTTACGTATTTCCGCATTCACGACTCACTAGATTAACACCGACTACATTCACGCTCCGATATTTTTCAACGTACAAATCTTAACTCAAAACTCGGACTTCACGCCATCTAGTAACGTTCTGTTGGCTAGAATTGCAACTCTTTGACGATGATACATGGAATTAACATGGATATTAACTTCCTTATTCTTAATATCTGTATGAGATTAAATGTTTAATACTACGTTACTTGGCGTTTCTGTGCAGATTTTATAAGAAAAACAAGAAATATAGCACGCTAGAGGATAAAATATTGAAAAATGGGTCTGAGCCTTAACTTCAGTAAAATAACCCTATTCGTCCTGTTACAATGTACTCAGCTTACGACCAGTTTTCGGGAAAGCACGAACTGCGATTGTACCATGAAGTGAAGAAGTTTAAAACAGAACCTTATAGGGTGGAACAAACACAAGCTAAAATAAATACACAGATGTTCCCTGCAGCCAATATTTCTAACCAAGGATGGAATCGACTTTAAGACGCTCTAGACTTCTAACAGGAGGTGCCAGGTTCAAAGCTTGGCAGGGCTGCCAAATGTTTTATTGGTCACTGTTTGTGGGACCTGAGTAGGTTAGTGTTATGGTAACAACCATTTCTTTAAAGATACGTTAAGTGGGTAGGTGTACCCCCCTTCCTTCTCCGCCCTCCAAAGAAGATATGGAAATATTTTCGCCTCAACCTCATGCCACCTTACACCATGAGAACACTGCACACACAGTAAAGTAATATCTTTCTTCCAAATTCATGCTTGTCCAGTCTTGACCACGAATCCCTTGCACGGTCCCTCTGTACATTAATGACAGCCAGGCTTCAATGCAGCGCGTAGGTACTGAAGTATGAAAGCATGTAGTTATTTGTTCCATGGCAAGCAGTCATTGATTTTTTCTTTTTTATTGATTGTTTAAAAATTTAAAATTGAGTCACAACATTATAAATACTGCATAATGAGGAGTTTCATAACTTGTACCCTTCATGAAGTATAATTAGAATGATCAAGTCAAGGAGGATGAGATGGGCAGGGCATGTAACACGAATGGGGATAAGAGGAGTTCATATAGGATATTGGTGAGAGAGCTAAAAGGAAAGAAACCACTAGGAAGACCAAGACATGGGTGGGTGGATAATATTAAAATGGATCTTAGAGACTGGATGGGGTGGTATGGACTCGATTGATGTGCCTCAGAATAGGGACCAGTGCAGGGCTCTTGTGATCACGGTAATGAAACTTCAAGTTCCATAAGATGTTGGGAAGTCCTTTTGTAGCTGAACAACTGGCAGCTTCTCAAGAAGGGCTTAGCTCCATGAAGTTAGTTAAACATTATAAATATGTGAATGTGATTCAAATAAGGAAAAATCTCAAGTGCAAAGAAGTGTTCAACAAAGTATAACATGATTGGTAACGCATAAATACAAGGTGTATCACAGGAGTGAACTCTGTCCATGGTTACAGCAACATCTAAATGTACTTCAGAAAGCTACTTCTGTGACATGAAAACTTAATATGATCTTTGTCAGACAGAAACACAATATGTGGTACACACATAATGCACTGAATCTGGAGTGGTTACAAGACAAAATGTCCTTTCTTACCAAATGAAAACCAGCAGGTAGCTGATGGAAAGCTTGAATGACCTTACAGTTCTTGTAAAGTTTATGAAATACATGAGGCAGAAGCTACAAAAATTGTAACAGTGAGATCATTCCTGTGTCCAATGGCATTCCTGTTGACAGCAAGCTAAGAAACAGAACATCTCAGCAATCATGTAGGACTGAAGGCCTATCAGGCCGCAATGCAGCAGCATGGTTACAGGAACAGCGGCATATATCCGCAGGTAAAGACGCAGACGAAAACATGCAAGCAGAGAAAATCACTTCAGTGTTCTACGTGTACAAGTGTACAATTCTAGCAGAGAAACACCCACAGCTTGACCATGGTCAGCACGTTCATTAGCGACGTTCAAATATCTGGGAACAAGCTAACAGATCCACTTCTTAGGGAATAACAGCAATGAAATAAAATCTGATTAATGAGGAAATTAACTGCAGAATAAATTTGGGTAATGCTTGCTACCATTCAGTTCACCTTTTGTTTCCTTGTTTGCTGTCTGAAGGCATAAAAATTAAAATATACAACACTATAATTTTGCCCGTAGTTTTGTATAGGTGTGAAATTTGTGTCTGATATAAAGGGACCATAGAGGGTTCCAATTTGCACAGAGACTGTGAAGTGAGAACTCTAAAATTGGAATGCATAGTTCAACAAGATGCTTCAATACAATATAATAGACTGAGTGTGTTTAAGAACAGGGTGCTGAGAATATTTGGACCAAAAAATGATGAAGTGACAGTAGGTTGAAGAAAACTGCATAGTGAGGAGCTTCATAACTTGTGCTCTTCCCCAAACACTATTACATATGTAAGTCAATAAGTAAGTTACAAATGGATATAGAACTTAAACAAATAAGAGCACCGATTTGAAAAATGCTTTTATTTCTCAAAATAATCTCCCTGTACATTGAGGCACTTTTCTTTGGGCTGCTGTTGGAACCAGGCGGCGACTGGGATCATGAAGGCATACTGCTCACCACATTCCAGCCTCAAGGACAAACCATAAATGCTGACTCCTACTGTAACATCCTCAGGAAACTTTGTAAGGCCATTCAACGGAAGCGACCAGGACTCCTCAACAAAGGCGTGTTGCTCTTGCATGACAATGCATGTCCCCATACTGCCAACAAGATAAATGAGACGCTGCGAAATTTCGAGCAGGAAATCCCCGAGCATCCTCCATATAGCCCCGACCTTGCTCCAAGCGACTTCCATTTGTTCGGCCCTCTTAAACATCATCTTTCGGCTCAATATTTTCCCAATGATGAAGCTGCAGAAAGGGAAGTCACCACCTGGCTCCAACAGCAGCCCAAAGAATTTTATGCTGCTGGTTTTCAGGGGCTCATGAAACAATGGGACAAGTGCCTCAATGTACAGGGAGATTATGTTGAGAAATAAAAGCATTTTTCAAATCAGTGCTCTTATTTGTTTAAGTTCTATAGCCATTTGTAACTTACTTACTGACTTACTCTCACAGAACAATCACAGGGACGGTGGTGATGTAGGTGGGGAAATATTAAAATGGATCTTTTGAGAAACAGGATGGCGTGGTATGGAATGGATTCATCTGGCTCAGGGTAGGGGTCAGTGGAGAGCTTTTGTGAACATGGTAAGGAACCTTGCAGCTGCATAAAATGTTGTTAAATTCTTGAACAACTGAATGATTGGTGGCTTCTCAAAGACTCAGCACCAGCTAATTCCATATTTAAGGGAGGAGGGGGTGGGGCTGTAAAGTGGGGGGGGNTCTTTTATATGGCATGCCTTTTGTTTTTATGAATGTACATTAATACACACACAGAAGTAACAATTTTAAACTGGTTCTGACTGTAATATGAACTAAAGTATCTATATATTTATATACACACAGTAACTAAGAAAAATATGGTGTACTCTAAATGTTATTGGAAAAACACACACACTCCTACCTTTGTCACTTTTATTACTACAACCAATCAGTCCTTATTGCAATATCACAGTACCCATGTCTTTTCACTCTGCTGCAAATCATAGGACAATCTTTTGTTATAATTAAGTCAAGTTTACAAGGGCTTCAATTTAGATAAAGGAAAATTCTTTCAGTTGCTGGTTGTACTCATGCTAAACAATACCATTACTAACAAACTGGTGACATTAATATTATTAATCAGTACGATTTACTACAGTTTGAAATTGCAAAAATAATTTGCTTCTCAGCAGTGATCACCTCTTGGCTCCACAGTTCTTCCTCAGCATGAATTCGGTTAGTTGTCGACATGCTTCACTGGTTTCTTTGCTTTCCATACTCTCTCCTGGCAATGCTCCAGAGCCTAAGGAAGGAAGCATATGCATTCATAACCTCATGACTAGACCATGGTGAATGGCCAACTTCATGTTCAGATCCTTTAACACCAAAGAAACAGCACCTGGCATCCACTGAACACAAACTGTGTGCTCCCCAGAGCCAATCTTGATGTTGCAGCAAATACAGACAGCAGTCCCTGAACTACTCCAGCTTATTCACACACCAGACGTGCCTCCATTCCACTTATTTTTCCTTATTTCATTCACAATTTGAGAAGAAAATAGTTGGTCTCTTCTCACATAACGTTCACTTCTCTGATTTACAAAACTCCAAAACAAACTCTGTGGCTTTAGTCCACAAGTGAACTATACCAACTGAGTGGCCGCCACTTCTTGGCAAAGTTACTGCCAACTTTAGTGTGTCCTTTCGGTTTTCTAGACTGGCTCTGATTTACACAGTTAGCCTTTACCATCAGTTTTTTTTAGATCCGAGTTCTCTTAGCACTGACTATAATCTGCTGGGATGTGATACCATGAAGTCTGGTAGAATTTTTGTGACATTTCAGAGGACTGGATTGTTCCACCTTTAGAGTCAAATAGTAAGAAATAGAAGCAACAAGCAAGCAAAAGGCATGGCTGTTGTTTGCTTGGTTTTCTTTCAAACCACGAAGATGGTGGCAGTACAATCAATAACTCTCTATTAGACTATGTGCTGTCATATCCCAGAGGACAGTGAGACTTTTCTCTTACTTTCCAGGAACACCTGGCAATGTGTATTTGGAAAGCTAATAAAGATCTATAACGAACACAATATATAGGAGGTTTATATATACACACATTAGGAATATTTTCAGTATTTCCTATGAAGAAATTTCATATAATCTAGATTTGTCATAATATCAGGGGCTGTTTACCATCCTGCATCCCCACTATCATTCTGTCAAAATACTGTAGTCCCATAACAGTAATACCAAAATGTCCTTTTCTACAAAAACGTGTACTTTACAATTACACAGATTTTCATATTAAATTCATCGCAAATGGAATTTGTGGGTTTCAAGACCTCAAGTTCTACCCAGCTGACCATCAAGTAGTACCTGTGGGATGTATTTCACCAGTTAAGAAATGTTGGTCTAGACTACTTCATTACTGAAAATTTATGTTTTCTAAATTGGTTATTATCTCGACCTTTATCATTCTGATATATCAGATTTTAAAGCTATGTACTATGCAGCCTGTGGCAGTACTTCAAACTTGGCAGTAATGGTATAAAGTAAAAGTAAAGCAAAGCTGTCCCCATGCTTAATTAATTACACAACATGCTTTGAAGACATGGGGGGGGGGCAGGTTGGAGGTACAGATTCACCAGTCTTCCACTCAGCATCATATGGAAGTTGAGTGGTCAGCATCATGCTCTGGCCACTTTACTGCCAGGGAAAGAGCCACCCATACTCACTGGATGGGAGGCAGGGTGAGCCCCAGAGCTGGTCTGGGTACTGTGAAACAGAAAATTCTCTCGTCCCTGCTGGGTAATGAACCCTGGCCATCAAGCCTGTAGTCTATTCCTACACTGAGTGAGCTGTCCCAGCTTCTGGGATTAATGGTATTACTATTGCAAAACTCAGTGCCTGACCAGCTGAAATTCCATGGCTGATAAAAGGTTATCTTATTCTTGTCCACACCTCAACTTGTCATTTTCAGTAATGGCCACACATCCAACTTTAGGCTGTGATGCCTCTCTAACCACAATACTAGATTAGAGTAGTTCATAACAGTAAATAAAATATTACTTACATCACAAGCTTTAGCATGAGCTACAGACTGACACCAGTAACCTGGTCCCCAGACACACTTCTTGCCTCCAAGCAAATGCACAGTCTGCTTCTCCCATCTGCACACACCAATCTCCAAACACACCAATTGTGGATCTGCTACTTGAGATATCAAGTTCATGATGCTTGGGCCATAAACATTTATCAATTTGTTGCACTGAAAAACAAAGAGCAACAAAATTAGTCCAAGCTTCTCATTTACAGGGAAGGTAATACTGAGACATCTTTAAGTGCAGTGAAAAAGATTCTCTAAAACTACTGTTATGTCTAAACCATTTCTGAAAGTGCCATACCTTGAGCAGAAAACCTTATGGAAGAAAAGTCCTGTGCAACAGGATCTCTGGTATGGTGAGCCTGCTTCCTACCGTATGTTGAAAATACAGCCTGGTAACTTTGTGATAGTGACATAATGCTCTATGTCACTGTTTGGTGATGAAGTAACCTCTAAGATTACTAAACACACTATTACTTTGCCAGTAGAACGAGAACATTCAACACTGATATCAAAGACCATCACAGGACATGAACACGAGACAATTCCATACACTTCCAACATTTACAAATTAATTCCCTAGCATATGAATAATGCTACACAGTGTGTCCAGGTTCTCATAGGACTGTGTTCATTAAAAATATAAGACATGAATTATTTTCAAAATTTCACTCTTTTTATTCAAACGAGTATCCTTCTGAATCAATACATAGTTGGAATTGATTGAAAAGTTTTCGAAAACAGTCACTGTACTCCTTTTGTGGAATCGCATTTAAAACTGCGGTACATTTCCTTCGGATGTCCTGGATGGTATCGTGATGGTCTCCTTTCATCGCCAACTTAACTTTTGGGAACAACCAGAAATCTGCTGGAGCCAAATCTGGCGAATATGGAGGATGATCAAGGACTGTGATCCCTTTTCAGGCCAAAAAATCATGCACGATCTTCGGTTTGTGGTGTGGGGCATTGTCATGCAGGAGCGACCAGGAACCTTGCTCTCAATATTCAGGTTGAGTTCGAAGAATTCTCGCCCACAAACGGCTGAGGGCTCCGAGATAATAATCAGAATTCACTGTTTGACCTTCTGGCAGAAATTCCTTGTGAATGATTCATTTGGAATCGAAGAAAACAGTTAGCAGTGTCTTTACTCAACTCTTCTGCATGCACACTTTCTTTGGTTTCGGTTCCTTTGGGCTCAACCACGCTGCACTCTGCCGCTTTGTGAGAGGCTCATGTTGAAAACACAATGTCTCGTCACCAGTAACAATTGATTTTGTAAATTTTGTATCACTTTGGGCCTGCCGTAACATGTCTTTGCAGTGTTCCACTCTGGCACATTTTTAATCGCCTGACAGCATGTGCAGTACAAATCGCGCACAGACCTTCTGTTTGCCCAAATCCTCATTCAAAATTCGATGCACAGTACTTTTTGTTATTCCCAAAAGCTCCTCGATGAGTCTTGCAGAAACACATCTGTCTGATGAAAGGATTTCGGTCATTTTTTTCACATTTTCTTTAGTGTGACTTGTTCTTGGCTTTGATGCCTGTGGAACTTCTTCAACGTCCTCCCTGGCATCATGAAATATAACATACCATCGAAAAATGTTTGAACGACTCAAACAATCACTACCGTACACACTTTTCATCATTTCGTACGCTTCTCTGGCTGTTTTGCCCAACTTCAAACAAAATTTGATGTTGGCTCTCTGTTCAACCGCCATTTTCCAACGAGTGTCAGAACAATACTGTTACATTCAAGGTCAGAGCACACAATGCAGCAATGCTTGCGCTTTGAAATTACAGACAGCCACAACTGAAACTTCAAGAATCTTAACGCCACAACTTGCCAACAGATGGCACTGCAGGGCAAAATTAAAAAAAAAAATTAGTCCTAATGGATCCTGGACACACCGTGTATTCTCCAGCTTCTTTATGATCTACCAAAGGGTAATTATCCAAGAGACTTCCTGAACAAATTTCTGTATGCAGTCTTGCCTCCTCTCACACCAGACACACAACCAGCCCAACACAGGACTCTTATATTTCACCATCATAATAGTACAAGGAATTCCACTACAAAATAAACTCAATTCTTTGCTTATAAAGGGGTCTTATGCAATGTTATTGTATTATTCAATGCTAGGTTATGGACAGGACCCTCTGCATAACATCAGTACTGAATGAAGTGCTCTATCAGCTGCATAACAGAAATGCTTCTCTACTCCAGTTCTTTATGTGCTGACAGAAAGAGAGAAAAGATGGTGTACACATTTATTTATTTTCTGGTTTATTGAGCAATCCTGTCAATATCTTCAATTACACTGTCAGATGGTAGGATGACTGATGAATAATGAATTGAAAAGAATATGAGGAAGCTACCATGGCCTAATGATTCACTATCCCAACATCTGTCAGGAGGAATGAAAAATAAAAAAAGAACATGACAAACTTAAGTCAGAGCAGTCAATCTCCTGGGTACCTCAAAAATATAAATCAGATGTGGTACTGTTTGAGCCACTTTACTTTGTAGGAAGTGGTATGGTGGTAAACCGAAAGGTGACATTCTTCTAACATACTATATGTAGCATGACTTTCTGACTTGTGATTTTGGTCCTGTCCCTGTTACAGGCCATGAGAGGTCAAGGCTCCAACATCTCCTAGACAGTCGGCCCATAGATGGTGTGTAAGGCTGTGAGCATTAAACCCCCCTGCCCCCCAGGAAATTCCTGGTACTCATTTCTATTAGAGGCTGAGTGGATCCAGGGCCATAGTGCGGCTGGAAGGGTTAGATATATTGCACAATACTTTTGAAGATGAAAGTTTATGTGTTAAATGGAAACCCATCTGAAATTAAATAATGTACAGGTTCCTTGGTACTCTATTACAAGCAAGTTTTAGTGTCTAAATACATATTATTTATTTACTCAGTAGCATAAACCCTACTGAAATTTCATCAGATGTTATTGTAGTTATTAACATTATACTTGGTCACAATGCACAGCTTATCACTGTGATCCAGTCTTGAGCATCACAGCCCTTGAGGGACACTTCAAAATTACATTTTCACTGAATATGCTCCCTAAAAATGTGGAAAGTCTTGGAAAGATAGTTACATTGTTCCAAAAAAATTAAACCTGACAAAGAACATTCACTTAGTGGAAATGCTACCTAGAGGTATGCTACAAACTTCTTACCGCAAAGACGAACACTGCAACACACTATCAGCATACCTTCAACTCTGTTCATTGCTACTATCTTCTGCCCCTATTTGTAACTGCATGCTAACATATGACAGAACAGGCCTCTATGTAGATAAACGTTTTATACTGTTGTAACTCCTTACATCAGCTTGATCCTTTGCAGGAAGCTTGGGACAAACTTTCTTCAGCAATTGTTCCACATCCTTCTGCAAGCTGGGGTCCCCAAGAAGCTCATCAAAAGCTGCCATTGATGCCTCACATACAGCACACTCCCTTACAGACTTCTTCACTGATTCTAACAGAACACACATTTATGTGTTGCATAAGCATTGTCATTTCTGGCCATACTGTGCAACCTAAAGTCTATCCCCATAAGATTTCAATGCTCTCCTATAACAAACACAACCAACTGCTATGTCATTTAATTGACACTACCACACTCCAATTAATCAGCTGCCCTTTAAATCACTGTTTCCTTGTATTAGGCAAGACAGCAGTTCTAATACTTCCAGGCAATTAGAACAGTCATTATAGCTAATTAAAGGCTTTTAAGTCAGAGGTATTTTGACAAACTCCTTATTTTACAAATATTCAATTAAATTTTCACATGAATGCGTGTAAAAACGTTAACAGCTCTCAGGTGGTATGAATGATGTAGGTTTCCTGGAACAAAAATAGTTGATGTCATGAACAGCCCTGCCTGTTTTTTGCATAAAACATCTTTGAGGGTAGACAATACCTTGAGTAGGCAGCCATATATATGCAAAGTCCTATATGCTGAATGAGATCTCTGGTATAGAAATTTCTGTTCCCACTCTGTATTAAAAATGGAATCTGGTAAATTTGTAAAAATGATACAATGATCTACATCAGTGTATTATTTTTATTATGATGTACTCACAAAGATATTTCAGACACAAAACAGTCTTATCTCCTGGAATATAATGTCATGCAGCCCACTGAAAGTTAACTGAGGTTTGGGACCAAAATGTTGCTTCCATCTTCAGGGTCGAAGAATAAGCCAGCAAGAAACCAGCACAGATGGATTACATGGCATTAAATCCCAGAAGACAGAGCTCTTCATGACAACAGCTGTGAGAGCTTCAAACCCTAGATTTCAGAACAGTTTACTATCACAATTCTTCCAGTGAATAGCACCATTTCATACTCTCCATTTTCTTCTATAATGTCAAACTGCTTAAATTTCCAGTACTCACTGCAATAAATATGTGCAATATGTATGTGTGTGCATTAAGTTTATCATATTTCATTCTTATTTATGTATATATTTTCTCAGATCAACTCACTTTCCACTTACAGATGTTTGCTTAATGACTGACCTCCAGACAATGTGTGTCTTTCAAAAACAAGGTAGCAAAATTTTTGCTTCATAAGTATGTAGGTGAGCCAATAAGTAAGTTACAAATGGATATAGAACTTAAACAAATAAGAGTACTGCTTTGAAAAATGTTTTAATTTCTCAACATAATCTTCCTGTACATTGAGGCACTTGCCCCATCATTTCACAAGCCCCTGAAAACCAGAAACATAAAATTCTTTGGGCTGCTGTCGGAACCAGGCGGTGACTGGAATCACGAAGGCATACTGCTCACCGCATTCCAGCCTCAAGGACAAACCGTAAATGCTGACTCCTACTGTAACATTCTCAGGAAATTTTGTAAGGCCATTCAACAGAACCGACCAGGACTCCTCACCAAAGGCGTGTTGCTCTTGCATGATAATTCGCATCCCCATACTGCCCACAAGACAAACGAGATGCTGTGAAATTTCAAGTGGGAAGTCCTCGAGCATCCTCCATATAGTCCTGACCTTGCTTCAAGTGACTTCCATTTGTTTGGCCCTCTTAAACATCATCTTTCAGTTGAACATTTTCCTGATGATGAAGCTGTAGAAAGGGAAGTCACTGCCTGGCTCCGACAGCAGCCCAAAGAATTTTATGCTGTTGGTTTTCAGGGGCTTGTGAAATGATGGGACAAGTGCCTCAATGTACAGGGAGATTATGTTGAGAAATAAAAGCATTTTTCAAATCAGTACTCTTATTTGTTTAAGTTATATATCCATTTGTAACTTACTTATTGACTTACGGTCTTATAATAAACTATGACAACCAAATTTGTGGTCTGGAACACAAATTACTCATACTGGAGGCTACACACTTTTCACAAAAATAAAAAAAATAAAACGCAGCATATACTCTTACTAGTAAACAGCTGTGCACTTCATGCTGCTTGTTACGGGTGACTCTGTCAAATACCAAGGTTTCATTACAAGAATGTTTTGCAAAGATAAGCTGATAATGGTCGCTAATATGAACACAGGGAATCCTCATCTTACCCGAAGTACTTACCAATCAGAACAGAATGTTTCACTTTAGATCCACTGCAAGCCTTAATTTCCGTACAGACTGTCTTGGGGTCGAGAGACTGTGCAAGCAAGGCAATCACCACGTCGCCATACTGTTCAATAAATTCTCTACATTGGGAGACCACAGTTCTGGGGAGTATGTTACATACATTTTCAACATACGCCTTAATTTCTTCCTGAAAGTTATAAGATACAATGACCTCCAACAAACCTGTATGCATTTTGAATGTATAAACCTGACAAGAATATGAACGCTTCATCACATATTTATGATGTTCACACTAATGTACAACTAACAAGAAGACCTTCGTATTCTGACTCATACAAAACCTTGACTTTTATGGAATTACTTTTATTATTACAGTGTTATCGATATCACATATCATGCCTGCATATATGAAACTAAAGTTTCTAATCAAGTTAATGAAGACAGTGCATTCTAAAATGTGAAACAAATGCTGATGGCTTAAAAAAATTTAAAGTTACATCAGATATAATACGGCAGTAATAGAAGGAATGTTATCTTGGTAGTATAGTTACAAAGGAGGCGGCAGTATGGAAGATGTAAAAAATAAAATATTTAAAGCAAATAGGGCTTTTAATTAACTACAAAAAGTGTAGAAATCAAGTGATATTTCAGTAAGAACAAAATTAAGAATTTTCAAGTCTGATGTGAAACCAATTCTATTACATGGATGTGAGACATGGCAAGTCAAGCAAGAAAGATGTAAAAAACTTACAGAGTTTGCAAATCGATGCCTCTTTAGAACAGTAAATGTGAGATGGCCAGTTATTATAACAAATGATGAACTATGGAAACAGACAAATGAAATAAAAATAACTGAACGGATAACCAGACATAAATGGAACTGGAATGACCTCACTTTTTGAACGCAACTGAGGTAGAGGCTATGGAGTGGAACCACAAGGTCAAATGAAAAGTGAAAGGCTAAAGAGGAGCTGAAGAGGAAGGCCAAAGAGGAGTTGGCACACAACAATATGAGAGAAAGCCTTGAATGTTGGGAAGGCATGAGGAGAAACAAGAACCGTATGAGATGGTGACACTTTGTTAATGCCCTATGCTCCAGTGGGAGCTGAAGGACAATGATGATGACGAATTGAGGGATTGAATGAATGAATGAATGAATGGTGTGCGCTCAAATGTGTGAGTGCACATATGTGCAAAAGATACACATGCATAAATGAATTTAAGCCTCTCCCTGGGATATAACTTCAATATGATGGATGTCCACATGTCCTGATCACCTGGACTGCTATGCAATTGGAAGTAGCATGATAAGCTCCTGGTAGGATCACAATGGATGGTGGGTGGGTAATTAGGAAATGATCAAGGAAAAACTACAAGGGCAATGAGTTCTCAATGTGGATTACGTAGATAAAAGGCAGATACAGTATGAACCAAATCCGAATTATCCGAATCACTGCAACGAAAAAATGATGACTCTGTCTCCATTCATGAGTCAGCTGGGAAACAAGTTCTGTCTGCTGAACAACCATCACTGTTGGACTTTTTCAAATAAAGTGTTTGGAAAAGTTAATTTGTAATTACATTTATTAATTTTTCATGTCTCACTTGTTTTACCATTTTTTTGGTTCTTATTATTGTAATATTAGAATGCATAACTTTTTTTTTTACAGATAACAATTTAATCCAATTGTCCAAATTTTCGATTTTCTGAACTACATCTGTCACTAATTAATTTGGATAATCAGCATTCTATCATAATACAGAAGAATGTGCATCTGTCATAAAGGAGGCCAAGTTCTTACATCACCACACAGCCAACTAACTATAAATTAATTTAAGGACATAAACTTAAGATACATACCATAAAAGATGAAAATGGTGCCTTATCTACAGACTGCATTCATATGCTACAAAAATAACATATTAAACGTTCATGAACTTGATAAATTTAGAATGAATGATATCATATTGCCAAACCATTAATTCCACAATCCACTTTAAACTTTTGGCCAAAGAAATAGAATCCACATCAAAAGTGACCCACTGCATACACAGAGTGGTTCTTACCTTTGCTGAGTGACTCACAGCGACCAATGCACCACCGGCTGTGAGGCACATATGAATTTTGTCGATATATCAGTATGCCTGATGGATGATAACATTTGGAATTAAGGGAAGTTCCTAACTTTGTGGACCACTTAAAGGCATTATGTTCCACAGTGAGGAGTGCAGTTCATGCATGGGAATTTGCTAATGATCTGTCAGTAATGGCTGGCAGTTATCAGCTCCATTAGCCAATTGTTCCCAGCTGCAATCTGTCAGCAGTGTGTAACGTCATGATGGGGTATACTTTTAAGCAACACATATTTTCTGTATGACACCTACACAAAATATGGATCTACTAGAAAATGTTGGTGAAAATTTTGACATAAATTTTGTGATGAAAGAGTTCCAAGCAGATAAACAATTCACAATTTTGTGAATAAACTTTGATCAATGGGACTCTTAACTGAGAAGAGCCAAAAAATTAGTTCCAAGTGCTTACCGAAAAGAAGTTTGATGACATAGGAGCCATACTTGAACATGCACCCAAAAAAATAATGAAACACTTAGCTTTGTGTGCCAAAGTACAATGCAAGGAGGGCAGCACAATTACTTAATGTTAGACCCTATAAAGCAACAGTAATCAACACATTGCAGCCTCATGATCCAGCTAACAGGGTTCATTCTGCAGTTGGTTTCTACAGCCGACTGTCGAAGGTGAGATCTATCCACTCCTGACATTCATTTCAGACGAAGCATGGTCTCACTTGCAGGGATACATAAATATGGAAAATAATCACTAATGGAGTTCACAGACTCCACATCCAACCCAGGAAGTCCTGCTCCATCCAATGAAAGTTGGCATCTGGTATGCTTAAATGCAAGGTGGATTGTTGGACCTGTGTCTTTTATCGAAACAATTAACTGCAAAAGATATGTATAGGCCATTCTCGGGCAGTTCTTTCCAGAGTTAACAGAAGAAGAAAGACTCTATGGCTGGTTTCGACAAGGCTCAGCTACTGCCCACACTGCACGTACATCTGTGCAGACTTTGTCTGATGTCTTCATGAACAGAACTATCAGCAGTGGTAAATGGCCAGCATGTTCACCTGATCTTAATCCTTGTGACTGCTTCATATGGGGAGGTCGGAAGGACAAAGTTTCCAACAGTAACCCCAGAACGGAATAAAACTAAAACAAATATTCATAGGGAGATTGCAAACATTCCTGTAGAACAGCTTCAAATCAGAACCTCTTTAACTGGTGTGAGTAGTGTCTATGTGTAGAGGAACAGCATTTTCAACACCACCTGTAATCTGTGAATTGTAACTACTTCATTCTGAAAGTTATCAGCCAACAGACATACTGATTCATCGGCAAAATTCGTGTGCACCAGTCAACTAAGTGTGAGATGATGCCAGGAAGGCCAGACGATAACATAGTGTGACATGCTGAGCTATGAGCCCTCCCCCACCCCCCGCCAGCCGTGATGCGCCGAGCGAAGCCGAAGCGAGCCGATGTTAGCCGAGTCCTAGGATCCTGGTCGCTAGGCAACGCGAGTCAACAGCGGTGACGTCACCAAGTAGTAACAGCGGTTACTTCCGCTAGCGTTACTAGCAACACAGCGCCAGGCAACAAGGGTGCCTATTACGTGGCCGTATTGTCCGATCGAGGCTACATAGGGAGCAGCGAAGGCTATTCACAGTTAGTTGTACTGAGTCAGCCAGTCAGTCCGCGAGCTACCTCCGAGTTAGTTTCGAGTTAGCCAGCAACCAGCCAGTTGTATTGTGGCATTTGGAGTGTATTAATTGTGATACTGCAGATAGCAGTAATCGTAAATCTGTAATTTGGGTGATTGTAGGTGCGAATGTGAAATAAAATTCGCTATATCAAATACGGCGTGAAGTTATTTGTCGCGATATACGCCCGATACGCGACAATATCCATCACTGGTCAATAGCTGGCAATTCCTAGGAAATCGTTGCCCAGGACATGAAAGTCTAACAGTGGGGTTTCCGCCGTTATTTGTAATGAAATGTATTCCCACGGCAACAAGAGATTTGTTCCATAGCAGTGGGCAAAACAATGCCATTCGACAAGGCGTTCCCTATTCAGTCCAAGTGCAGGATATAACAGTCCAACTTTAGCAAGAGACCAGTCAGTTTGTATCTGACAAGAGACCAGTAGAGTTTGTATCTGATGAGAGCTAAGGATGGTTGAGCTCCGAGCAGAGCAGAAGACACTTCCTCGTGATTAGCAGTGTAAGAGTGTATAACATTGATGAGGAAACGCCTGAAGACGTTAAAAGTGCAAATAATTGTATTTGTGAGTGTATAGAGTGATTGTCCAATAAATATTTGTCCAAATCCAAGACCCACGTAAATTTTCCTGTCACGTTGCTTATTCCCCATGTGTGGACTGCATCAACAAAGTTATTTTGGACACAGTGGTAGAAAAAACATCTCCCTGCAAGGCTGTTGGTAATCATGGCCAGTCAATTTTTACCGCAACCACAGAGGTTTAAGATGTTGGTTTTACAGAATGTGGAATTTCAAGAATTTATATACAAATTTCCTTACCTCTGTGGCATCATCTTTCAGCTCTTCATCAATCTTTGAGAGGGCAAATTCACACACCACACAAAGTGTCGAATCTTTCACAGAAACCTTTGCTACTTTCTTCCTCATATTATTCTTATGTTTTAATGGAAACTGTGGAATCTCATTAGTCACTGAAAAGAAAAATCAATTGCAGTTTTCATGGATCAAGATTAAAGTGCGTTAACAGGCAAAATGCACTACAAAAATTGAACTCTAAGGATAGCAAAATCTCCATTTAAGGTTCTTGAGGGAAAAGGGAATAAGAATTTCAGTATCAAACAGGGTAAAGTGTAACCGTTCATTATAATCAGGTGCATTATAATGAAAATTTGACTGGAACTACTATGCTGAACTATATGACATAAGTCTGAATTAAGAAGATAGTCATGTTCTTACATTCAGAATGAGAAATAGGCTCATTCTTGCTGTGTGAACAGGATGCAGCCACCTGCAACTTTTCCTAAAACTTTAGCTGTTTTAGAGATAACACCAGGGCTCTGGTGACATGATATTTGACAGCTACAGCAATCAATATACCAAAAATAAGTTGGCCTGATGCCCACACTACATCAAGGATCTGTCAAAAGTGTCGTTTGTGTTTTAAGGGATAAAATCACTTAGCAACTCCATCTGATTGGGAAATGGAAAATGCTGAGACCTCCTAGTTTTTGAACTAGGCCAATGAAGCACGTCTGAGGAAGGCAACTTTTGGTGGAAGTTGAGGCTCTGAGAAGCTTGCTGCTTCTCAGCAGATCAGTTCCAAAAATATTCTGTTTTTGACTTTGATGCCAAATTCACACTCCATAGAAATTCTGATCAACTTATTAGACTATCTTACATACTAAATTATTAAGTGGTCATTGAATAACTTCCTATTATAAATTCAACTTAAAAACTGCCATAAATTGTTGAACATTATTAAAGTCGATCTGCAGTTAATTGCATATCAGTGTCACTATGAGGTAATTTGATGCCAGTGTTGTTTAATCATTCACAGTTCAGTGCCAATCACTGTTTCCATTGTGTGTAAGTGTTTGTGCTAGTATTCCTCCTGCCCTGCTAGAGCAATGCCTGTTAAGACTGAGGGACAAATTTCCTGCTCTACAAGACCCAACCCTGAGCTAGCCATCTTGTTAATTATCTTTACTGGAAGGCATCATACAAATTTGTAGCCATCCCTGCCTGGTGACAACTGGTGCCCAAACAAGTCCTGCTGCCTTCCCAACCAATCAACTCAACATCTATGGAAGGGAAGGAGGTAATGATAAACCTATTGCAGGTGAGTTCTACAACTGTGGATGATGAGGCAACCAGAGAAAAGTAAACTGCTACGCGGTGGCATTCAATGTGAGGATGCAGCAGAAAAGGGGCAACAGAACAGTCGTAAGAGGTCGCTTCCAACTCGGTGCCCTCCATGCTCCCCAAACTCACCAATTCAAAAGGGCAGTTTTGTGGTAATATCCAATATGTTAAAAAATGAGCTTTGCTGTGTATCTCATTTTGACAGATTATATATAAACTCAGCTAGAATAGTAACTTTAGGATAGAAATTTTGATTTGAAAGCAAACATCTATGATGTCAGTGATGGTACTTTACAAGTTAGTAGCAACAGTGTTTTGGCATAGTGTAGGGGTAACGTTCCCACCTCATGACTCAAGGTATGCAGGTTCAAACCCAGCGGAGGTCGTGGAATTCTTAAGGGCGGAAAAGTTCAGGGAACAAGTCCTCCGGGAGGGACTTTAAGCCGTGGGTCCCGTGTCGTAGCTTTACGGCACGTAAAAGAACCTCATGTCCCAAAGGGACCACTGAGCCAAATTGATCGGACATTTCCCACCCAACAGTAGTCTCTAATGCCTCTGATAGATGGGGGAAGCATCGAGAGATACCACTGAGCCAGTAGAGGCCGAACTCGCTGGGTGAGTTGGGACTGATGGCATGCACCAGTATCGGTAGGGTATAGAGACTGGTAGAATATCACAGAGGGGACGTACAATAGACCACTGGTCGCGCTGCATGGGGAAACCCACCCCTCCAATAGTAATAATCATAACAAAAGGTGACGCTCTGATCATCTGAACTGTGACACCATAAAGTCCTGTATATGTATACCAACGAAAACTAAAATTCCCTAAACATTCCTTCATATTCCAGCTTCTATTTCAGTATGCACAGTGGTTTACAAACCACCAACATCACCACCACCACTGTTATCATTAATCAGCAATTCATTTTGTGTATGTGAGCACATGTATTAGGATTGTTACCATTAGTAATAGTTAGAGAGATGGGCTAGCACAAGTAAAAGTCAGGGAGAGGTACCTATTGCAGTCCCAACCTTTGCTGTAAAGCAAAGCATGAATATAGTAGGGGTATTCAGCAGAACTGTGATTAAAGAATGTCCCTCAAGAGATGTATAACACAAGCAAACTGCCAGTTAATGTTCCATGATTTAAGGTTTTCCCTCATTAATATTTAATTTCAATAATGCAAAGTCTATAAGCGGTGTTAAATTTCCTCCTTTTAAGTCAAAATCTAGTGAACACCAAAGAAACCTTAAATAAAGCCTCCTGCATAAAGCAGTGTATCACTGGAAGGGTTATCCTTGGAAACTACAAGAGATGGGAAGTGTTAAATTCTCCTATTACATTTTCAATAGGCATTTCACTCACTCATGGAGCTGAGCCATTTTTGAGAAGCCACCAATTCTGCAGCTACTCAAGAACTTCCCAGCATTTTATGGAACCCAAAGGTTCATTACTGTGTTCACAAGAGGCCTCCAGTGGTCCCTAACCTGAGCCAGCTCAATCCATCCCATCCCATCTTATCTAAGATCGATCCTAATACTGTCCACTTACCTATGATTTGGTCTTCCTAGTAGTCTCTTTCCATCAGTATCCTATATGCATTCCTCTTCTTCCCCATTCATGCTACATGCCCTGCCCAACTCATCTTCCTTGACTTGACCATTCTAATTGTACTTGGCAAAGAGTACAAGTTATGAAGCTCCTCATTATGCAGTTTTCTCCAAGCTCCTGTCACTTCATCTCTCTTCGGTTTGGATATTCTCCCTAACACCCTCACTAGTAAAGTATAACTAAAGAGTGGTTACAACTTACAGATATCTGGAGCTGGTGCAGTTACTTTTATCTTCTCAACTGGATCGCAGAGTTTAAGGTAAGTACAGATTTCCTTTGGTGTGAAATCAGCAATCAGCATGTCCACCAACTGTTCTTCATATTTTTCTACAAAATCTCGGCATTCTCCAGCTATGGATCTTGGTAAATCATCACACAGGACATCTAGCTCCTTCCTTATTTCTTCCTACACATTGACCAAATTGACTGGTGATCAGTATCACAGCTCCATCATACTCGTATATAATTAAAACAGAAAGGTAACATTTACACTCTGAAATACACAGAACTTGAGTTCATACAATGTCCACTTTACTCATGTTTCATGTTGCAGAACAAAAACATGAAGTTCAGTTGTGCAGTGTAAATGCTAATAACTTTCCACTTCTGTTAACATTATATTACACGTTCACCTGCCATGGTAAAGGGATCAAGACACAAATATATACCAAGACCTGCCAATGGAATTGCTATCTCATATGACTGATTTTATAAAAACTACAGTACTTAGCGAATGACTGAGTGCATATAGTTCAAGGTACAAAACAGCCTCCAGCATTTGCACCTCCTAAAATTAAATTTATATGAATTTGACTGATAAAATGCAAATAGTAAAATGCAATACAAATGGTTAACACCTAAACAATAATTCTAAGAAACTTAAGACATACACATACGACAGAAATACAATGAAGCCACATACATATATATAAAAACTGTTACCTTTCCATGTTTACATTCCAAAGCACAAAGGGAAACACTTGTCTTGCAAACATACACTGCACCTCACTTGAGATGCAAAAGATTTTTGCATTAAGCATGGCATCTACTCCTTGCTTCCATCACATATTCCATTTCTGCCTAAATAACAACCGTCACTGTATACTTCCAACTCTTATTAAATCATATATTGTATGTTTCAACAGCTCTGACAGGCTTGGTAGCCAACAAGCCCCTCTGCTGGTTCCATTACACGGCCAATGCCTTTGTCATCTGGCCCCACCATCCTGACAGGCTGAGTGACTTCCCTGAGCACCTGCACAGTGTCTATCAGAATAATCAAGTCAATATGAAGATGGCTATGTTTCAATCTTTCAAAGGAGACCTGACAGCTCTGTGGACCATATGGTATACTGTAAACCTGCCCATACTAACTTTTATCTCAACTCCATTTCTCATCACCACCCATTTAACAGAGAGCTGGAATAGCAGGCAGCATAGTGACTGGCCATGGGCTGGATAACTTATGGGATGGAGTTCAACTCCCAGTAGGGTGAAGAATTTGCTCTTCTCCAAATCCTCCAGAAGGCTCTGGGGTCCGTCCAGCCTCAAATCCAAATGGTACCAGGGGCTCTTTCCTTGGGGGTAAAGCAGCTGGGACATGAAGCTGACCACTCACCTCCAACCAGTGCCAAGGTCAAGAAAAAGTGTATCTCTACATCCACTCCCCCATATACCTTCATGGTGTAATGCTTAATTAGTTACGCACAGGGACAACTTTACCTTTTACCCATCCAACAAGCATGCTGTACTTTGAATGACCCGAGACTGAGGACACAGAGTATATAGTATGCCTTATGAGTGCACTGGACTGGCAAGCAACTTGATAACACCATCATGTTGATGAAGCACTATCAGCATATCGATCTAGAACATTGAATAAGTCAGCTGTGGCACAGAACAGTATGGAATGCATCATAAGGGAGATAACTGAGATTCAGCTCTATTCCAGTAATATAAAGATGCTTCTCCCTCTGCAAGTCATGGAAACCCCTCACCTTCTCCATGAAACACTGTAGGGAGCCATCCTCACAGAATTCTCTGATTGGGTTCTCCAATGGGCCACACAGATCCGTGCACAACGCCCTTATCAGGGGAACAGCCCTGCCTTTTCCCTTCTAATCCTCATCCAGAAACGCACAATTCTCACACATGACTTCTTTCCCATCCTCCTCAGTTCTCTGCTCACCACACACATCTACACCTTCTCTCCCCTTTTGCTTCCAATAGCCATACTGACCCTTTAAAGGTCCAAACATGGTCACTCTTCTCCAACTTGCTACTGATTCACCTTGGTTTTCTGATAGACCAAATGGGAGCTGACAAGGTGGCTTCCAAGGTCCCTTCTGTTTCCACATAATCCCACATTTTTGCAACAAGCAGGCTTTGGTTGCTGCCTGCTTCAAGCGGTTTTCTTGTTTGGCTTACTCTTCAACTTTAAAGATGGGGACTTGTTCCTCCAAAATGTTGCTTGACTTTTCAAGGGATTACACGGCATTATATCCCAGAAGACAAAATGAAGTCAGAACTCTTCACTTTAAGATCTGTACTTACCTCAGTCTTATTGTTTCTAAGTTTTTCGATAATACTTTGGGTGGCTAGCAGACACAAGGGACAGGTTGGCTTGTCATTCACTACATGAGTTGCATCCAGGGCCACAAAACCTTCAGCAGAGGGGCACAAACCAAGCTGTGGGCAGATCTGGGAAAGCATAACATATATAAAGATATTATTTACTTCTGTAACACACACGGGATCAAACAAAGAACAAACAAACTCAGTGGCTTTAATCCGCAAGCAAACTATACCAACACAGGGAATCAGAGTCAAATATTTCAGTACAACAAAAATGAACAAATGAACGAACAAAAAGCAGCAACAAACAAAACAACAGATATCAAGAAGTGCTGTTCCTCTCTAAATACAGTATTATCACTATCATTCTCTACCCACATGTTTTCTTTCTTATTTTCTTTTTGTTTTGCTCTACTTGCTTTCTTATTTGCTAAGGGATAAGTTTATTTCCCAGGGATGGACCTTGGGAAAATGTAATATTCATTCAGTTGAGTAAAAAAATTGAGGGATAAAACATCCTTAATTTCCTTCCTTTATTTCATTCTCATCCATTTTTTTGTTTGCTAAGGAATAGTGCATAATAGCCACACTGTCTAATGATAGCCTCTTTCCCAAACTTTGAAGATAAAGAAATAATCAATGCATAAAAATATGTATAACATAAAGCATCTTATTAGCATTTATGAGGGAGTACCCAAAAGAAATCAAACTTATTTTTTTTAACTTATTTATTCAAATTTTAAGCACAAACCTTCAATCCCCTTCAAAGTACTCTCCACTTACACTAATACACTTGTCTAAGTCTTTTATTCCATTTTTCAAAACATTGTCTAAATTCATCTTTTGAGATGCTTGACAGTGCTTCCATCGTTTTTTCCTTCACCTCAGCAACATCAGCAAAACGCTTTCCTTTCATGTCTCTTTTCATTCGAGGAAACAAAAAAAAGTTTTGAGCATTTCGGGACTCTTCTTTCAAAGCACAGCATGCTTCCACGCGACCTTGTTTTTGTTCAGCAGTCAGCAGTCGTGGCACGAATTTCGCAGCCACCCTTTTCATTCCCAAATCTTTTGTCAAATTTCGCTGAACTGAGCTCCAAGTCACTCCTGACAGCTCCACAATTTCTTCAATGGTCCGCCGTCGATCTTCCTTGATGATTTCACGAATTTTTTCAACATTTTCATGTGTTCGGGCCATGGAAGGACGACCAGAACGAGGTTTGTCATCAATTGACATTTCACCATTTTTTAAACGGGAAAACCACTCAAACACTTGAGTTTTCCCCATAGCATCGTCCTTGTACACCGTTTTTAACATTTCAAGAGTTTCTGTTCCACTTTTCCCGAGCAAAAAGCAGAATTTCACCGCTGCACGCTGTTCACGAAAATCAGCCATTGCAAAAACGACGATCACACAAAACAGTTGTCACTATAAACTCTGCCAAAACTAGCCCTTACCTTCTGAAGTAACGGTAGTCGGCTTATCGACTCAGGAATGTTAGCTCTATGCGCTCATAGCAGCAAAACGCGGTACTACAAAAGCTCTGCCCACAAAAAAATTAGTTCAGTTTCTTTTGGGTACCCCATGGTATAACAGTTACTGAAACAATTCTTTGCTGTAATGTATATGTAATAAAATAAAAGGGAACATTAATTTATGCCCCTACTTAGAGTATGGATTTTAACAGAAAATTAACTTCAGAACTTTCAGAATCACATCTTCCACACAAAAGTGTATATATTAGCATTCTAGTAAAAAACATCTGCAGAGATCAGCATGGTTTGGAGCTGGGTAATATCTGCATTAAAAATCTCACTTACTAGTTCTGCTCATTACCAACTTCATATCTACCATGTTGTTACACACAACAATACTGATTCAAGCTGATGCATTTGTTTACAGATTTATGGTTTCTGCTACCAAGGAACTAAAGTAATAAATAATTTATTTTTTAAGTAAAACCTGAAGTTTAACCTTTTAAGTGTGGGACATTTAAACCCTTGCCTGGCACACAGACAGAATTAAAAGTGGTAGTTTTAAATTCTAATTGCACCAGACCAGACAGAAATATATATAGCTGATCTTTATTTACATATCTCAATTAAACAAAAACAGTATAACAGAGGAACAAACTCACCGTTTTAGAAACGTTTTATCACTTCATGGCCAAATTCCATGTGTTCATTTGCACCAGATTAATAAAACTGTTCTATAAAAGAAGTAAAAGTAAAAAAGGCAAAGTTGTCCCTGTGCTTAACTAATTAAGGACTACACCATGAAGGTGTATGGGAGAGTGGATGTATAGATCCTCATTTTCTTGACCTCAGCACTAGTTGGAGGCGAGTGGTCAGCTTCACGCCCCAGCCGCTTTATTCCCAGGGAATGAGCCCCTGGTACCCATTGGATAGGAGGTTGGGTGGACCCCAGAGCCGGTCTGGACGACACGGAGAACATAAAATTCTTGACCCTACTGAGACTTGAGTTCTGACCCCTTGGTTGTCCAGCCCACAGCCAGTCACTATACCGACTACGCTATCCCAGATCTTTCTATAAAAGAAGTACCCATGGAAAAATGTATGTTAAAAAAGTCTGTTTCATCACTCTCTAAACTAGATGGCAGGAGAAGTTCCGCTGCATTACTGAAGATCATGCTACACACACAACACATTGCTGGATACAAATACAGTCAGTTCCAGTCACAGCCTGAAGCATGGCATAACACACAGACCACAGTCACAATTCTTGCAGTAGTAGACTGTTCTTTTTTTCGTTCTTCCTTCATCTTGCATACATGGCATCTCTTTCTTCTTTTGGTGGGCCAGTGCAGAGACCGTTTTACTTCACGTCATCTCATTCGAGTACCCAAACTGCTGAGTCAACACTGCTGGCACACTACGGAATTCAGTATTCTCTTTAAGGGAAAGAACAACCACTCCCTAAATTTCATATGAGTCATATTTCCCGTTTAAGACTCATACAGAATGTATGAACTCAGAATGGTTAGGTCCAACAAATGGAAGTGTAGTTTTTCAATGGCATAAACTTCTCACTTTTCTTTCCAACACACAGCCCTTAGATCTCCATACTCTGGAGACAGTGTCTCCTCTTTTCAGTCATGTGTGTTTAGGATTGAAATTAGGTGGCCTCTCCTTCCTGTTGTGATGAACTGTACTGCATGCATTTATTTTCCTGTGGTGCAGATCACTGAAAAGTAAAGTTCTGATGAGGTGAAATAATTGTCCATGAATATTTTGTGTCCAACTCCTTCAACTTTCTGAACCAGATCCAGTACCATTCTTTGCGGCTGCAAAAACTGTGCTGGGAACGTTTCTTCGTTTCCCCAGGTATTTCCTATGTTGAATGTGTAACCAGATCTGTCACAGAGTTTATAAACGTTTTTGCCACATCAATTTTTTTTTAAAAACACTGCTGAAAGACAACTTTCCCTCTGAATTTTACAATCGTCCGCTGCCATATATTCTGCTGGATGACAGTTCTGAAAATTTTGAATTCAGAATGTCAAATATTTGTCTGATTTTCCATATCTGTTTAACCGGGATTTTCTCTGTTTTGTGGTGGTGGGTTGGGACTGCCCACAAAATGCAAATATTTCAGAATCATGAGAAAATGATCACGTGGCACCACACTGGAGCAGAGTTCGTCTTTGGTCCAGAGTAGCTTCATATTGGGCTTTTGGTCGTGACCCATCTGAACTATAAATGCATACAGATCCTTCATGCCTATTTACTGAGAATATGTTAATATCTGATTTATTCCTTGTTTATGCATCTTGCGGCATATGTCAATTGACCTCTTGTACAATTACTGCCATGATGGTCTAAAAATATAGCAAGAAGTAATCACGATGTTGTGAATTTTCAGTAATATTGGGAGCAGTGTTTTGTTCAGCCCTCTTTGTTCTCCCATGAACTGGTGCATATCTGACTTATCAGAGGTAAACTGGTGGCACCACTCTAATCATCATTTTCTTAAGCATATGATGGGTCTTGAAATGTGGTATCTTTGAGCCCTTCTTCTGAGTACATATCTTCAACATCATCTTGTGCACATGCTAAATCAATTAACAGATGTGCACACTTCAAAGGTCCTGCCACACCGATTGTGGATCACTGGTCTATTGAATACATTTTAGTGTGGAAACAGAAAGAAGCATAAGGAGGAACCGATTTCAGTACTGAACACTAGAATACCTTCTTCAGTAGGAACGCTATCCTCTCCTCACTTTTTTCTCCTGTTCATAGGCCTACTTCATATGCACACAAATAAAGAAAATTACATACAGGCGGTAACAATCTGACACTGAAAACTGATGTGAATCTAATCATATACAATTTTCATTTCCCCTCATATATTTTACCTCCTCCAAGTATATTGATCAGGTTGAATACCAATCCTACTGTTACAGACTCCCAAAAAGGAGTGAGAAGGAAAACTTACCTGTTGTCTGGGTTCAGAGTGGCAGCAAACCGTTGCACAAGATTACAGTGGGCATATACATAGGAAAATAAATCTGATGCATGGATTGTTTATACAAAGATAATATTGACACCTTGCAGAGTAAAATTCCATGCTTCGTTTAGGCCAAGCACATATACAGGGCACCAGGAGGGCTCCTCAAAGAAAAGATGCTGGGCTGCTGATATATCAGACATTCAGCCACTTGCCAAGCCACTTGGGTTGTGACATATTGGACATTTGTCCTTTAAATGATAAACAACATAAAAATAAAATCCAACTACTGAGTCCTATACTGGGCATATTTAATACAATCAACATCACCATCAAAGCCTACTTCTTTGAGAGAAATCCTCTAATCTTCATCTGTGTCAGCAATTCAGCCATTTCTCACAAAATTACCACAAGGTCTACATACTTATTTCCCCCATCTTGGTTAAAAATATTTCCCATAAAACACTTTATTAACTTTATTCAATGTAGCTTACCACTGAGGGGTCAATCTCTTGTGCCAGGAGAGCCATAAAAGCATTGCCATATGTTTCAACAAACTCATGACACTGGCCTTGAATGGCATCAGGCAGGTGATCACAAGCTTCTGCCACCACCTTCTCTATTTGTGCCTGCAACCATAAATTTCCTCCTGCAGTAAAATCAAAACAAACTTATTTTTTTTTACTTATAATTCACACATGACATAGTAACACATATCCTTCTCTGGAAATTTTATGAGTTCCGTTTTATGGAACAGTGTGTTGTAACTGTACGCAGTGAGTACATTCTTCCAACTGTCTATAACTGTCTATAACAAGGGTCTCCAAACTACGGCCCGCGAAAGAATTGTGCAGAAATGCGCCAATTGAACTAATTTTCCAATGACTAACTGGTAAAAAATTACTTGTCCATAGATTTCAAATTCATTAACCGTTCAGTGTGGTTTGACGTGTATGTTTCGTCAGGTATTTAAATCGTCTGGGGGGGTTCGACGTCTATGTTTCGTCCAGCTGCACACCTATGTTATAACGCCCGTAATAATTGATGGTTTTGCTGTAGATTTTTAGATTTTTCGCTGGCCTGTTGTCAGTAGAACAGAGTATAATAAGCCACGACTTTATCTGCGCTAACTCATCATTACATATGCCTGTCTTGCAGCAAAATTCCTGTTGCTCTTGCGAGCGGTTTCTTCGTTCTACTGTTATGAATGGCGTGTTTTCTTTGCTATGAAATTATAAACAGCAGAAACGTGATATGTGCTGTGTTTATTATATCATATTGCCCTGAGCTGGCCGCACTAACACACTCAATTGGAATTCTTAGAAGAGGGATGTCCAAAAATGTATTCTTGCAAGATCGATTGATTTCGCACAGTACATAGCACCCAGTTCTTAGAAAAACGCCACGAATTAAGGCAGAACACTATGGTCACCCCCTATGACGATACTGGTGTGTGGGGGGGGGGAAAAGAACTCATTCCTTCATGTATTATCGCTCCAGTTGACGCCATTTTATCGTACTGACCTTGGTGGTCGTTTCGAGGGATGACCATAAAATTTTTTTTTGAGCCAGCTAAGCTCTGCTTTCGTGCACTACATACCAGACAGTTCTTAGAATAACTTCATGAATTCTGTGGTCACCCCTATGACATCTACTGCCGCCAAAATGGATGGAATATCAAAGGCATAGCAACAACCCCTTGTTATGATAACTCGTAACGTTGAATTTACTGCAGCTGACCTGACTAGCTAAACGCTCATGGAAAGACATTTCCTTGAACTATACCCCTCACGGGGAAGAAGGCAAGGCCGCACAGATGTGTGGTTAAAAAAAAAGAGCCAAAGAAAAGATACACAATATTGGAGCGGTGAATGTGGGGCAGTGTTAGGTTAGAAGACTGCTTCAAGGCCTACCTTACAGTGCTCAAATTCTAAACACCTGCTTCCACTGCCAAGATACAGGGCGTTCATATTATAAGGTAAGGTTATAAAAACCATCTTTTAAGATCATTTTAGTGAAAGTTTCATCCTTCAAGGCGTACCATTCACTGCTCAAATACTAAACAACCTGCTTCCATTGCTGAGATACCGGGCGCTCATATTATAAGGCAAGGTTATAAAACGCCCTTTTAAGATCATGTTCCTATCTCATATAATTTAAGAACAATGATGAATAAATCATTTTCGAGCAAAATTTAAATGGCTGGCTGAATATATTACCGCCGGAGAGACGGCCGCGGAATTTAAATCACCGCGCAAAAGGGTTAATTAACACTGTGTTTAAAATATATTGATATTCCACATTATGTTAATAATAAGAATGAATAATCTACCCCATATCTTCTTGCAGTAGAGCAATTTGAAACCACAAGTAGTTCCGCAATTTCCAAATTTTTTATCAATTCCATGAATTTACTATGGCCAAATGGCATTCCGTATGAGCGTGTATTGCCCTTTGTGACTGATGCCGCAAGTTATGTGATGAAAGCCGGTACTGCTCTTAAAGTTATATTTCCAAATATGACATATTTGACTTGCCTTGCCCGTGGGTTGCACCGTGTTGCAGAAACAATTCATGCAAATTTTCCGCTTGTTGACAAGTTTGTGTCTTCTGTGAAGAAGGTATTTGTTTAAGCGCCATACAGAAAAGAAGCCTTTAAAGCAGTAACACCGAACGTTCCACTTCCGCCAGAACCAATTTTAATGCTGTGGGGCTGTGTGCAGCGAGTTATTATACCGAACATTTAGTAACAGTTAGGAATGTCGTGAATACATTTGATCCCAAAAGTGCAGCATCAATCCAAATTGCCCAAGATGTACTAGGAAACAGAACTAGAAACTAATCTTTCCTATATATCTGTTCACTTCTCTCATCTTCCATCCGCCATTTCCTCACTGGAGGCAAGCAATAGCAATACTACTTTGTATCAGTCATTAAGTGGGTTCAAAACCATGGTTTCCAAATTGAATTCAGTTCCTGGAAAAGTTGAAGTAGTAAAGGAAAAAGTACACAGCATTCTTTAAAAAAATCCAGGATATGAACAAATTGAAGAAATTTTAGCCAGTAAATGTACTGAACTGCCAAATAAAAAATCACTAACAGTGGAGCAAATAGTGGCTTTTGTACATGCGCCCCTAAGTTCCTGTGAGGTGGAAAGAAGTTTTTCCCGCTATAAGGACATCTTACGAGACAACAGGAGGCGACTAACTATGGAAAACCTAAAACATTTAGTAACTGAGAAGTGCAACAGAAGAGAAACTGATAGTTCGGAGAGCTAAATGTGAGTACCATTGGATTTCTAAATTTGTAATGAAATATGTTGGCTTTGTTGCATGATTTGTATTTAAGTATAGCTTTTTATTGCAAGTGAATCATTCAGTGATTACATAAAATGAACTTAAAAATTGATTTGTTGGTCTTAAAATAATGTAAAATCAATTTTAATATTTGGTATAAATTTTTACGTGCATATTTTGGAAGTTCTTCATGCATAAATGCATACATATTTAAGGGATTATTAGGGCATAAAAATCCGGTCCCTACTGATAACACAGTACAACAAAATAATACTGTAAATTACAAAGTACATCTTGTTATTACAGCAGTATGATAAGAGAATTTGTCTTTCAACAGCCAAAGGAAACCAAACTAAACTATGCAATACCTCAGTTTTGGGATCTGTAATAGCTTGTTGCACATAATGCAGGAAATACTGGCAGAAAACACACTCTTCTTTGTTGCTGACATACATTACGGTTTGAGGCAGCATTCTATCAACTGGGAGCTGCGCATTCTGCACATCTGCTACTCTCACAACTGAAACAAGAAATGAATCATTATATTTAGATATGCTGAATATCATGCAAGAGTTTTTATGAGTATAGCCTTTAGCATATGTCTCTCCGAACTGCATACACCCTTCGACACGAAAACTTAACACCTAAATGGTACTGTCTTCTGGGACGTGACACTACACGGTCTAACAGAAATTCACAGATGTCCCTCAAAAACATAAGTAAACTTTCACCTGACTACATAACATCACAACACAGAAGAAAGTACCTTTCATAGTCATTGTTATGACAACCTCAACAACGCCCCCCCCCCACTTTATTTTCTTCAACTCTTGAACTGGGGGGGGGGGGATCAAACACACACTATAATTCAGACCATAATTTTGTAAGCATTTACAAGAAATGATTTTTAATAATCCACTGCAGAAAACTATATCATTCTAGGTAACACCAGACACAGCAAACTTTCAAGTCATCTTTATCCAGTTAAAAATTCAGAACAATGAAACTTACCACCTCCATTATCACCAATAGGAACCCTATGAAAGCCTGTGGCCTTATCGTCGACAGAGGTCATACGAGTTGCAGTAATGATAGAGCCCACAGGCTGAGCAGGTGTCAAAAGTGTGGCCTTCACTTTATCACCGGTTTGCGCAACACTCAAATGAGAGGCCTCAAGTCTTTCTGCAGTCTGGGCAGGAAGAAGTGGCCAGATGGGACCTTGCTGTGGACATAACACAAGAACTGAAAGTTACCAACAGACAACATATACTCAAGACACACTGAATCTTGCTATAACAGGCAGGAGATAAAATCAGAATTAACCTTAATTTCTTCTGTTGTTGCAGACTTTCAAAATTATGAAATTTTTATTTGAACCCAAAAGTATCATGTTTCAAGAAACATGTACATACAGGCAACACACCACTTTTTTCAGTTTTCAAGCATCATTACATTTGAAAATTTTGAATAAGAAGTGTCCTTTCTACCTGTTGCTGACAAATGATGAAAGAAAAGACAGAATTACTGCACAAGTACATATTGTCGCGTATCGGGCGTATATCGCGACAAATAAATTCTCGATGTATTCGATGCAGCGAATTTTATTTCACACTCGCTCTTACAATCACCCAAATTACAATCTGACGATTACTGCTATCTGCAGTATCACAAATAGTACACTCCAAATGCCACAATACAACTGACTGGTTGCTGGCTAACTCGATGATAGGTCCAGGACTCGCTGACTGTCTCAGTACAACTCAGTACAACTCGGTGGTAACGCACTAGAACTGTCTGTGAATAGCCTTCGCTGCTCCGTATGTAGCCTCGATCGGACAATACGGGAAAACGGCCACGTAATAGGCACCCTTTTTGCCTGGCGCTGTGTTGCTATGTAACGCTAGCGGAGGTCACCGCTGTTACTATCGTAACGTCGCCGCTGTTGATTCGCGTTGCCTAGCGACCGCGATATCCCTCGGTGACGTCACCGCGGAGGGGAGTGGCGGGGCGGGAACTCGCCTATTACCGTAGTAACGCGAGCGTTACGTTACCGCCACGTATCGCTGGGGAGGTAGGGGTCGACATGTCACAATATTTTATAAGAGAAAGATTGTAGTGCTTAGGGCTCCTTTCATCCCTCTGTCATCAAACAGCAATGCTCTCTACAGCCACCACCATAAAACTAACAGGATGGTGTGCTTGCAGTGTTGTAGATGTGCTCAGTTTGAATCTTGACCAGGACACGGGCTGTACTAAGTAAGGTATTTCATGGTTTTCCTCAGACCCTCCACGCAAAGGCCAGGATAGCTTCAATTATGTCATAACCATCTCCTTCCAAATCCCTTTTAATTCATCTACCATCCTACCATTCAATGCTACAGTCTACAACAATGAAAGGACAACAAGTAAGCCACCATCACCCATATCCAGAATAAGAAACAAATCTATATTTCAATTGATATTATCACTCGGTGACATACAGAGTTAAAGTTACAGAAACTAGTGCAGTAAATTCTCTTGGTAGAACAAAATGGAAGGAAAATATTTAAAATGTTCACTTCTGTCTCTCTTCAGTATATATCAGGCATGTCCAACGTGTAAATCGGGGGATGATTTTTGCTCGATCTCATATGTGAAAAGCATGTAAATTCACTTGTAATATAATATGTTTATATTCAGATTTTGAAGGGAAAATACGTATTAGTCATTCCAATTTTTCTGTTCTTATGTAGCTTACATGAAAATTGTTTACACTTGTGTTAAGTGAACTGTGGGGAACTCCCTACTCTATCCTTATCATGTGAACTCTTATTTTTACCAATAGTTTTACTTAAAGAGAAGTACAACGATAGGAGGGGGTGGTAGATCACTGGCAGTTTTGACACTAAAAAGTCGATTACAACCTGTTTGAAGCTGGACATGCGTGGTATATATATATACAGGGTGTCCCAGGAGGAATGTGCCAAACTTCGGGAGGGTGTTCCTTATGTTAAAGTATGCCGATATAACCCAAAACACCTATGTCCAAAGTTGAACGGTTACGGAGATAATGGCCCGAGAAAAGTGTGGTCTTCTTGCAGGTCCACGCACTGTGGACAGTCAGCTGTGACTGTTATCTGTTTGTACTTGAGTGTGGTGATGTCACACTAGCCGTGATCTCATGCGCAACCTACAGTTTACGTTGCTGCGGGGTCGTGAATGGGTGGTAAATTAGTTGTGTGATGAGTTGCTGAAATGCCTCTTGTGTTTTCACACGTGGAATATTGTGATATGCATTTTGTGTGTGGATTTTGCGGTCGCAATGCACGTGCTGCTGTTGAAGAGTACCAAAGGCGTTTTCCCGATCGAAGGATTCCATCTCGAAGTGTATTTA